AGCTATTTAATAAATATATATATTATTAATGTATATAATAAGTTATTTTATAAAAATTAATATAATTTATTAATTTATTATTTTAGAAATTATTTATATATATTAATTTAATATATAAAACTATTAACTTATTATTAATTTTTTTTAATTAATTTTATATTTTAAAGTTATTTTAAGGTATATATTATATTATATATTCTTTAAGAGATTAAGTTTTAATAGTTTTATTTTTAAGGCTTATTATATAATATTTATTATTATATTTTATAGTAATATACTTTTATTAATAAATAATTTTCTTTTTTATATTTTTATTTTATTATTTCCTATAGCTTTTATTAAAAAATACTATAAAGCTTTTTTTTTAATTAAGTATATTTTAAGTATAAGTATAATAATTAATATATTATATATTTATTATTATTATTTAAAATTAATTTATATTATATTTAATATATTTAATTATTATATTAACTATATATAATTAAAGAAATTATATAATAAAATTATTATAATAGAATTTTATAAGTTTTTTTTTAAAATAATTTAATTAAGTAATAATTAATTATTTTTAATAAAAAAAGTATTTATATAAAAAAGTATATTAAAGTATAAAGAAAAAGAAATTAATAAATATATTAAGTTTTTTAATATTTAAATATTAAAGTTATAATTTAAATTTATAAAAAAGTTAAATTATTTATTATATATTTATAAAATATAAAAAAAAGTAAAAAAGTAAAGTAAAAAGGTATTTTATTATAAAATAATTAAAAAAAATATAATAATAATTATTAAATAATTTTTTAAATAAGTTATTATTTTATATTTAAGGCTTAGTTTTATTTTTAATAGCTTAGCTTTCTTTAAGTAAATTAACTTAAATATAATTAATTTAATATTATTTAAGCTTTTAAATTTTAATAAATTTTATTTATTATTATTTATATATTTTTTAAATATTTAATAAATTCTTAGTTATTTATATTATTATTATAGTTTTTTTATTTTATTAAATACTTATATAATTTATTTTAATCAAATTTAAATTTAAGAATTTTCTTAACTTTATATTTTTTTTTACTTTTAATTATAATTTTATTATAAATAATTTTACTTATATTTTTATTAACTAAAGCTTTTTTTAATAGTAAAATATAAAAAACTTTATAAAGTTTATTTCTTTATTTTCCTTTTATATTAAGAATATTAAATTTATAATTAACTTTTTTTATTTTTTTTATAATTTTATATAATTTTATTTTTTTATAATTTAATTTATTATTTAAATAATTTATTTTAATATTAACTTAATTTTTTTTTTTATATATTAATAAAAGTAAATTATATTTCCTTTTTAATAAATTAAATTTCTAAGCTTTATTTAATTAATATACTTTTATATTTATATATATATTAATTTAAATTATACTTATAATTTTTTATATAATTTAATTATATTATTTACTTTAATTATTACTTTTTTTATAATTTTATTATTATATAATAATTTATATATTTTAAATTTAAAGCTATAATTAGAGAAAAATAATAATTTTTTAATAAATTTTAATAATATATTATTATATAAGAGTTAAGTAATAAATAATTTTTTTATTTAATTATTTTATTATAAGTTAATATAATATTATAATTATTTTTTAATAATTTAATTTATTTATTTATTTATTTATTTATTTAAAGGTAATATATTATATTAGTTTTATAATTTATTTTTAATTTAATTATAAATACTTTTTAAAATTTAAAAATAAATAATATTTTTTAATTAAAAATAATATTTTTTAATAATCTATAATTTATATTAATAAATTTTATAAATATATATATAAGGTTTTTAATATTTATTACTTTTTTATAAAAAATAAAATAAGCTATTTTTATTAATTTATTAATTATAATAAATATATTATTATATTTAATATTTATTATTAATTTTTATAATAATAATAATTTTATAATATAATTAAATAAAATTAACTATTTTTTAAAATATAATAAATATATTAATAAATTTAAAAGGTATAATAAAGTATTTAAATAATTTATATTATATTTAAAATACTATTTTTTATTTATTATTTTTTTTAATTTATATAAGGTTATAAGCTTTTTTAAAATTAAAGGCTATAAATTAATTTACTTTTATAAGCTTATTTTTAATTTTTAATATAAAAAGTAATAATATATAATTTCTTTTATTATTTTATTAAACTATTAATAATTTAATATTAAATATAATTTATTATTTTTTTAAATATAAATATAATAAAGTATTTTATTAATAATAAAAATATTTATATATATTTTAATTTTAATTATTTATTTAATTATTTTTATAAAGTTATAAGTTTAATTTTATTAAAGTTAAAAATTTTATAAAATTTAAATATAATTTTATTTTTTAATTTAATAATATAATTTTATTTAATATAAATTAATATTTTAATTTATATTATTTTAATATATAATTTTTTATATTATTAAAACTTTTATTAAAATAAAGTTTAATTATTTTTTAAGATTTTTATTTTTATTTTTATTTTAGCCTTAGGCTTATACCTTAGCTTTAATAAATTTAATATTAATAAAAGTTAATTTTTATTATATAAATATAATTTTTTTATATATTTATATTAAATTTAAAAAGTAATTTATTATTTATTATTTATTTTTATTTAAGTATAATAATATATATTTTTAATATTAATTTTATAAAAATACTTAAATTTTTTAACTTAATTAAAAAGCTTTAATATTAAAAATTAAAATCTTATAATTAAATTTTTTAAAAAATATAATATAATATATATTTTATAATAACTTTAAAATATATAATTAATTAATAAGACTTATATTAAATTAATAATTTTATATATTAAATTAAAATATATATATAAGTAATTTTTAAAATATAAATTTAATAAATTATATTAATTTTTATTTTTTAAAATATTTATTATATATTTATTAAATAACTTAAATAATTAATAATTAATAATTAAAAAAATATTTAAATATTATAATTATTTTTTAATTAATTTAAAAGTAAAGTTTTATACTTATAAAACTTATTTTAAATAAAAGAAAGCTAAAGGCTATAGTTTAATATTATAAAAGAACTTTTAATTTAACTCTTTATAATTTTAAGGGTGCTAAAGGAGCTTCATTTACTTTTGGTTTCTTCTCAGCTCTTTGTTTTTTTAATACTAGCCAAGGATCCTCATTTACTTGCTTTCTTCTCTTTTTCCCTTTCCTTTTAATACCCTCATTGTTTTCATCCTGAAATGCCGCAGATGTAAGAATGCCAACAGCATCATCTTCCAAATCACGCTCAGCTATCTCCTCTAACTCATCTTCTTTCTTTTGCTGTATTTTCCGTTCTTCTTCTCTCCATTGGTCGTAAAGCTTATGCATTTTGCGCTCCTTGCGAGTTCGAAATACCTTTAAGCCTAGTTCATCTCTACCGTCTCTGGTTGTGGTTTTCTTTGCAAGCCCTGATACTGGCAGAGCCGCGTCAACTCGACTGGCAAAGGCTCCTAAATTCTCGCCGGGACGAATTTGTAGCTTCTCGCTTGCTACGTTAGAATCTTGCATTGGTTGTTTCCCAGTTTCTCCATTATCTAAGCCTGATCTGATTTTCTTGCCTCCGGCCACGGCCATGAGTCGCCTGAATGCTCGTGGAGTATCACTGGCTTTTGTAGAGCTACGTGGACGCTTTTTCGCAACTGGTTTTTCAGACGTCGTTCCATTTCGCTTGACTACAGGGAGAGGCCGAGCGCTCTCCGTCGGTGGGAGATTGAACCTAGGAATAAATTAGATAAAGGCATTCATTCGTGTGTCCTACTTTAATAACATACTGCGCTTCAAGGTCGTTGCCTTTCTTTAGCTTGTGTTTATGAGGCATGATGAAGTGATTTTGGTTAGAATTGAAAATTTTATCCTATTTGGTTTCAATAGTATATAGTAAACACCTTTATAATAAAATAATACTAGTTTAGTATTCAATAAGATTTGAAAATTCAGCTTACATAAGCTTAAAAAAAGCTAATTTATATTAGTTTTTTTTTCTAAATAAGTATTAAGCCTTTTATTAGTAATTATATATTAAATTAAATAATAGTAATAGTATTAATAATAAAAATAATAAAAATTTATATTTCTATAATAATATATTCTAATAGTTTTTTTTTATATAAGTATTAATAATATTATTATCCTTTTATTAATTCTATTTAATTAATATCTAATTAAATTCTATTGGTAAATGTAAGCTATTGTAAACCTAGCCTTTTTTTTTCTTTGTAACCCCATGCTCACTAATATCCTCAGCCCTTAATATCTCCCATCGGCGCTAACGTCCATTGCTATTCGCGCCTCTTTTCTAGGCTTGACGTTTTATGATCATCGACGCCCATACATTCCTGGCCTATCTCGATTTTTATCAAGCGCTATAGAGCGAGCAGCACGAGCCTTGCCTCGACGACTCCCATTACCCTCCCTTGTTTTGCCTCCCTGATTTCCTTTCGTCCAAAGAGCGCTTATGGAACTCGCCCCCTCGCCCAAATCCCAGCCTGAAACAGCCGCCAAGCTAAGGGTCAACGCCACGCTTCTTCGATAACTTTCCGTCGAACTTTCCTCTCGATATTTCATCGTTGTCATATTGCAGTTTTTGAAGCGGTAGCATAAGGATTTGGCCCTTGATTCATCCGGCTCACGCAACGGTATTTTTGCAAACAACGATCACGCGATCTGAGCCTTACGAAGCCAACTAGCCCGTGTCAAATCCGACTCTAGCCTTCGAATACCTACCTATATATCTCGGATCGCATATAATCACGGGTAGCTTGACAAATCTCATCTCTTCGGCCGATCTGGGTTATACCTACCTGTTGAAACCATCAGCCTTGGTGTGACCTGTCGCAATATTGTTGCTGTGGCCGGCCTCGGCTAGTTTTGATTGAATTCGCTCATTCATTATGAGAGAGGTCAATTTCAGCATCCCCAACGTCAACAAGGCGTCTGTGGGAATAACCACAGCTTTATACGATCGCCGAGCACTCGATTGTACCTCTACATTACCGCTTATTAATTCCCTTAATCACCTTGCGTATCTCACAACATCCTCCGCACGTATTCGCGATATCCTGACCGTCGATGGAGGTATAGAACGTTTGGTCTGTATCCTTAAAGAGGGGCGAAATGGAGATATGATGAGCATATGGAAGTGGAATCTCGCCTTCCAGTGTGTTGTCAATATCGGCGTCCGAGGGACAGAGAACGTGCGGACTAGGGTAGTGGAGGCAGACATGGTCCCTGTCATAGCCACTATTCTTGATAATTACATCAAAGTCATAGACAGCTGTCGCGAAAAATCCGATGAAATAAAACAAAAGCAGGCACATGATCATCACCGCCGGCACAAGAACCACGACCACCGGCATTCAAAAGTTGCTTTATCGTCCAACATTCCCCGTTCATCTCGAGATGGAGACTTGAGATATGCTTTACGACAAGACTCGTCGTCTGCTACCGATGCTCCAGAGGCTCTTGCTGGTCCCTCTATTACTTCGAGTGGGCAAATTATTGATACGGCTTCGGCGACGTATTCCCTCATTTACGCCAACACAGATCGTCCAACCTTGACGCAAAGCCACCCACTCCTTAATGCACAAGGAACCGACTTGTCGTATGCTACTACAGCACGTCAGGAGCTTCATACTCTTGTTACTGCCCCTGTTGGGGATAGTACCGACAATTTTACTCGAGCTTTGCGCGATGTGGATCGCCTGACCTCCATTAGTGCTCTTGGTGCTGTTGATTTGGCAACTCAACCTACGTCTCCAACCACTCCCGTTCCTCTGCTTCAACTGCGGCCACCAACAGTACGATCTGCAACGAATCTAGACGTCACGGTCAGTAGGTCGCGAAGACGACCATCAATCAGACATCAGAATTCAACAGCTGAGTCTGATGACTTTAATGGGGACAGCATGCCGTCTGATGAAGCTCCAGATACTGAAATGACGGGAGCCGCAGAGATACAGTCTGCGGTGGGGATTCAAGACATCACGATGGATGATAGCGAAGCCATCTTAACAGGAGATTCGCTGGACCTCAATAATCCTACTGCGTCTGAAGCCCACCAAGACGCTGAGACTTTTAATATCGCTCATCGTACGAACCTCGATGGGAGCATCAGAGATAATATGACGCATAATCCGGTTGCGCCTGTGGGCCTTTCTCCTAGTCGCCCGACTTTGGGCGTTACACCACATCCTCCACCAAGCTCTACGATCCCTCGGTATCTACTCGACCGACATCTCATACCCAATCCCCAACTGTTGTCTGCAATGCCCCGCGAAGAGGATGTGCTTATGTCGCTGCAGCTATTGGCGTATGTCTCGAAGTATTGTTGCTTGCGTACATACTTTCAAAAGAGCCACCTCGTGCCGACTCTTGCAATTGGGGACGATCTCTTCGATCCAGATACCGAAGAAGAAGGTGAAGAAGGAGCCTCTTTTACTCGAGACAAAAGCGAGAGTGACGACGAATATTTGCTTGAAGATGACTTCAATTTATTTCCGTTGGTCGAAAAGTTCACTGTCCGGCACCATAGCACGGATATGCAATATTGGGCCGGAGTGGTGATGCGGAACCTGTGTCGAAAAGATGACACGCGAGGAGGAATTCGACAATGCGCATACTATCAATGTGGCAAATGGGAGGAATTCACCCGGCAGTTTGCCAAATGTCGTCGATGTCGTCGAACAAAATACTGCAGCAAAGACTGTCAGAAAAGCGCTTGGGCTTTTCATCGCCATTGGTGCGTAGCTGCAGCGCAATGATGGCTTATAGCGCTGCGATGGACTGCTCCTTGTCCTCTTTTTTTTTTATTTCATAAGAAAAATCAGTTCATTACAACACGGCTCTTGGTTTGAAATCTTCTTTGGAAAACTGCGACTTCATTACATTATTAAGCGTCTCATTATCGCATAGCATTTCTTCTCGATACCACTGGTTGTCTTGGCGTATTGGGTTTTTAATCATGGGTCACTGAGTTGTGCTCCTGGCACTGCCTTCTGTTTCAATTTGGTAATTTGCTCTTTCTGAGATTATCTTATCTCAAAGTCTAGGCGTTTCATAGCAAGTATATTGGTGCGCCGGCATCATCCTCAGGCATCAAACAGACAAACTGCAATATATGATAGGTATATATGCCTGCATACCTAGGTACTACCTATTGATGCAAAGGCATCGTTAAGTGAAGGTGGGGGTCATGATTGGGTTATTTGTCACTACATCATCAGGTTTATTTTGCATAATCTTAGAATACAGTTACAGCGAACACCAAATACTTGCCTCTCTTGGTGTCGCAATAGTAGTAATTGTCTTTCGCGCTGGCTCCAATGTAGAAATGAAGCCCTTTGTTTGCATGTGCCCTGATGAACCGGGCTGTAGTTGGTCCGCTTCGAATTTACTTCTCATGACTATCCTCCTTTCTGGAACATCTGATCTCAGAACACGTAATAAATCATACAGGTTAATGCTCACGTAGCTCGGGGTTTGGAGTTTAGAGGTTGAAATCAAATCCACACAAGATTGGCTAAGGTTCTATTATACTATTACTGCGAGTTAACGGTCAAAGATGGCGCGAGTTTTTTTTAATCAAGTTTATTGTGTGTCTCTATTGTGTACAGGATATACCGATGAAGATTGATAAATGTACCTATGAGGCCTCAGAGACTTTATGATGAAGCTGAGACCTATTCGTTTCTCAACTGATGAAGTCAAAAGAAATGTGGCTACGGCCAATCGCTACTTGGGGAACCGGGCACCTTGTGTGTTAGACAAAAATAATACAGCTAACAGCTCCATGCCAGTTATTTGAGAGCGGCGGCCTTTCTCCTGCTCTTACCTGGCCTTGATGCCTTGGATTTCATTCTCTTCACATTAAACCTAGAGAGATCACCAGAGCTGACGGCATCTCCTGACTTTGCATGCCGCTTCTTCCCTCCAAAACCAAACTTCTCGTTCTTCTTCTGACGCTTGGCGTTCGGAGCATGAGCTCCTGACTGTTGTCGAGTTGATCCAGAGCGCTGTGAATGCTTGGCGATTTCGTTGTCCACGCTGACATCAAAAATATCGGCCTCTTTTGTACCGACATCAGAGTTATGCTCTTGGCGTTCTATGGAAAAACTGATTAGCTAACCGATAATAATAATCGCAACAACCGTCATAAATCATATACATGTATGGAGAATAATGAATAGGCCGCAACTTACTTCGCTTGAGCGTCTTAATCTTGTCCAAGGTCTCACGCTTGGCTTTCTGTCGTTCCTGGAGTTTGGAGACCTGCACCTGTTTGCCAAACTTTTTCAAGTCTCGAAGTTTGCGGGCTTCAGCAGCTGCTTTTTTATTAGACGCCTCCTCTACCAGCTTTGCCTTGATCTTGTCCATATGGGCATCTTCTTTGACCATTTCAGCAAAGTAGTCTTTTGGGCGGGAAAACGGCACCCCTTCGCTAATGAGTCGAGATCGGCCCAGTCGCACGGCCTCCAAGCATTGAGAATAAAAGGCAAGCTCCCGCTGCAGATCGTCTGATACGTCCGGTATAGATTCAGAAGTTTCTGTAGCAGAGACGATAGACTGATGGGAGGCGAATGGAGCACTCTTATCTGTGGGAATTGCTATCCTCTCAAGCGCCGCCAGAAGAGCAGATGTGTTGTTGATGGTCAGTCGGGTATGGGGGACAATGTCCTCTTTTTCCTCTTCCTCGAGATCTTCAAGGTCGGAAACAGGGATTTCTTCTTCATCCTCTTCCTCCTCCTCCTCCTCCTCCTCTTCATCTGCTGCCACATCTGCTGCAGGAGTTTGAGCAGTGGTCTTTGGTTTTCTGGGTATTTTCTCTTCAAGTTCAATTGAAGATTCCGAAGTATCGCTTTCGTAAATCGCATCAAGATTCATCTGTGAGACTCTGTCAGCATGAGAAAGAATGAGAGTTTGAGCGAAACCTAATACCAACCTTCTCTTCGTCGACTTCTTCGCCTCCTTGATCCAGATCACTCTCATCCTCGCCGTTTTGCTCTTTGCTAGCCTTTCGTTTGGCTGCTTCCTTGCTCTTTTTCTGCTGCTTCAACTTTGAAAAGTCAATTCCCTTTTCGGCGGCTAAGGCCATCTTCAGTTTGCTTTTTGTCACCATTTTGGCCTCTTCTTGTTGGGTTATATGGTGCAGCAAGTTTTTTTCCCCTTGGTTCTTGGAAAAGTTACTAGCTGCTGCGGACGCACTTGGAAAAATCTCAGTATTCTGCCGTCCCAAGCAATTTTTTGTCCCCACCGCCTGTAGGGCGGTGAGCAATTGAGCGTATCAAGTAAGCTATCATAGAAAGCGGTAGATAAATAAGCGGGTCTAATTTTGTAACTGCCCGGAAGAACTCCGTATTACCTCCGGGTAGTGCTTGGTGTGGTAGGAACAGGCAGTACAATGTGAAGACACAGGAGAGAAGGAACTCAGATAGAATAGGCAATGTTTCTTTTTGCTTCGCATAACATTTGCCCTCCTCTCTGTGTACCCCCGTACCCCATCCCCACCTCCTCTCTCTCTCTCTCTCTCCAAAGCTTAGGTGGTCATTTGGAGTTATATTGTCATTCGGCTTTTCTTACTACATACCATAAATGTCATGTCAATCGACTTATCATGTGAATGATAAGCATGTTTATTATTGTACGTCGTGGTTATTAAACGCATTATGGTTGTTCCAAACAAAGAATGGATAGCAGAAAGCGTGTATCAATGCGACTAATAGGGTCAATCACCGCTAATTTTTGCATGTCGAAAGTATTTCATGCCTACCCAAGCGACTACAACCCACACCCAAGCCATAACGCACGTCAAGATAATAAGCGCAGGGTAATATCCCACAATGGGCAGAGTATCGTCGTCTTCAAGCTCCGGCGGCGCATATGGCGTCTTGCCTACGTCCCATGCCCATCTCCAAACTTCGAAGCAAGAGCCCATTCCCATGACAAAAACAAACCAAGTCACTGTCAGAACCACCCAGCCCCACCACTCAGTCTCGGCGTAGTCCCAGCTTGCACCTGGCTGGTGTAGCGACGAGGCGGAATAGGAGAGTGGAGATTTGGCCTTTTGCAGCGACCTCTGGCGTTCAGCTATATCCCGTCCGACGTAGTAGGACTCGGATCCTGACGATAGAGGAAGACTGGATCGCAGTGACGGAGAGGCGTGAGGTCGTAGCTGGATTATGTCCTCCTCATCTGTTGTCAAGCTGTAGACGTCCGCCGGTCTTTCGCTCCGGCCCAAACCAGCATTGAAACGTGTCGAGGCATACTCGCTTGTCGGTGATGATATGGGAGGGATGTTGAGGCCAAGAGCATTATGCACAGTGATGCCAGAACTGGGTTCGAAGAGAGCAGACTTGGCTACAGATGCGTCAGGTATTGAATCTGTTTCAATAGCCAGCGGCCGGTTGTCTCTCCTATCGCGCTGTGCACCTCTTCCCAAAAGGGCCACCTTTCGGAGAGATCCCCTGCGGCGTCGAGTCTTTTGCTGCTGGGCGACGGCTGCTAAGGCACGCACATGAGTGGCCGACGCCTCTGCTTCATCTCTCTGGGCCGGCTCCGTGTCGGCAGACGCTCTCATAGAGTCGGATTTGGTGCCTGGGATCGGACGAGGATTAGACGGCTCTCCATTGCGAGGACGAACTGAGGCCTGAGACTCGGAGGGCGGTCCCTCTAGCGCAGCGTTGGGGAATCTGAGTGAATTTACACCTGCGTCCATAGGGGCTGCCCGCCCAGGCATCAGGCGGTGCAATCGCGTGGGTAAGCAAAAGCGTCTGCTGCAATCAGATCTGAAGATGCCTACTCCGTACAGTGAGGAAAATGGCCTTAGGCTAGGTTGGTGGCGGGTGGGGTGCGACCTAGCCCACTAGAATAGCATCCCCTTTTAACAATGGGATCCATAGACGGCATTTTAGCAGGGCCCTGGCAGTGAGGGGGAGGCAGATACCCAGGCGTGCCTGGCGGATATATGGAGTCTGGAAGTACCTTAATCAAAAGCCTGAGCATCCCCCCTTGTAAATTGCACCCTTCTTCAATAGAATACCTAGTAGTGAATAGCAGGTATTACTATTTGTATCAACAGGCGGCGGCATCGCCGCAAAGGAGATGAGTATGCAGGTATCTACAGTGCATGGTTCAGCAACAAGCAGACAGCTGCCCTACGAGAGGCATAAACCGGCCGACACTAGACTACTAGTACAGTAGGTCAGATACCTTAGGTAGCTCGCCAGTAGATTTCACCACCTAATGCTCTCCAGCTGGCATCTGATGAGCCTTAGCCTGCGCTCTAGCCCCATGCCCGCCGCCGCTCGAGCTACCAGAGCCAACCGTGGGTGGCATTGCCCATCTGGGAAGAGGCACCAGTTCACCCCCTGACCCTCATGTGGCGGCACTGTGCTGAGGCGGGATGCGCGTGCTGGCCTGGCACTGGTCCCTTACTAGCATCCCGTCGAAAAGTCCAGCGTCCAGTCTGGTGTTATCCCCTAATCTTCAAGAGAAGTGGACAAGACTCTCACCGCCGCAACTTCTGCGAAGGCACTCATTTTTACCCATCTACACCTCTTCATCGTTACACCAGACCTGGCTCCGACTTGCCCATGAATGTCTCTCGTTCATCGTCAGGCCGTCTAGTTTTTATCTGTTTCTTTGTGTCTTACTCTTTGCAGCTCTAGCTTCCCGCCTGACCAGCTCCTCCATGGCAGCGACCTACGATGTCGGTACGAGAGCGTGGCAGCCTGACGCCGCCGAGGGCTGGGTGGCCTCTGAGCTC